AATTCAGAAATTATTAATATTATTATGCATTAATTTTTTTTATTAATTAAAACTATTTAACTTGGTGATAAACTACAGCAGTACTTTTTTAATATTTCTTCTTACCTAAATTAAAAAAAGAAAAAAATTATCAATTAAAACAAAAGCTTCGTCGTAACATATATGAAAAAAAAACTTAATAAATTCCTTCTTAAAATATCGATATAATAATTATACAGGGTGGTCCAAAAGTCAGTTAACAATTGTAAAAGCTGGCTTATCTCTTAATCACGCTTACAGTAAAGGAAGAACACGTTTGGATTAGTGTTCGAAAGTATATCTGGAACACACTGCCAACTGACTTTTGGGCCGAGTTTTATATAAGCGTATCTCATTTATTATAAATAATTTCCTCTCTGAAAAAAAATAATAATAAGCGAAATATTAACACATTTATTTTCGAAATTAAAAAGGAGGAGAAGTAATATTCTATTTATGTATTTATTTATTTTTCTACGACATTAAAATCTCCTCCATTAGTCTATTTAATTTATAATAATTAAATTTTTCAATATACCATTTTAGGTTCTGTGTTCGATATACGGGGTGACTCAAAAGTCAATTAACTGTTGCGAAAAGAAAATATGTAAATATTTAATAATTTTCATCGTGTTTCCAATTAAATTTTTTTTTTAAAGAACAACGCGTTTGATTCGTATTTACAATTATACGTTGTTTAACTGACTTTTGGGCCACTTATATTTTACTTATTAACATTACGTAAAATGTATTCATATACTACGAAATTCCTTTAAAATCCACCCCCAACTTATAGAAGAAAAAGTTTTAAATCATATTTTAGATATTCTAGGATAATTTTAAACTACTGAAAACCTTTATAGAACGTTTCCCAATTGTTTTCTATAAAGTATTCAGCGAATTCCAAATAATCTAGAATATAAGCGGATCATTTCTGAATCGCTCCGTGTTTGAATAGTGAAAATTTAATTTCTCATGCACAGCAACTGCATTTTCAATATAGACCCGCAGGCACAATACAATATGTATTTTTCAGTGTTTGGATCAATATTATAACTCCGACAAAAGGGAAAAGGCGAGAGAAAGAGAGAAGTTTTCCAGAAACCGCCGCCATCTGCTCTTCCAATTTTATCTTCTTCCATCATCTTGTTTTGTTTCTCTCTTTTTATTTTTAAACTAAACACGTATTTAAATTCGTATAAAACCTTTTCTTTAATCATTTTTTTTCTCTCTCTGCGATAAATTTAATTTTATACAAAAATTTGATTAAATTCCTATCGAGAAATATGGATTTACTGGAAAACATTTTTAAAATAGTATTTTTCTTTTTTAGTAATGTTTTGTTTACTGTTTTTTCTCTTGTAAATTTTTGATGAATCTCGTAAACAAGTGCGAGGTGCCATTTTTAATCAAATAACTGTTTTGTATGTATATAATTTATTCATATATTATTATATAATTGAATTCAAACGTAGAAACCTTTAACTTCTTTTTAGCAGTGCTGAAGAGCATCTTCTTAAGGGGGATAACTAGTCTGAACTTCAAATTCAGCTCTACGAGGATTTAAAGGGCGATGTTTTTTTGGAATTCCCCAGGCATCTCGAACACACTTTAAAAATATTCCCACTTAATCACCGAAGACAATTTTTGGCGCATTCAAAATACAAAATAATTGTTGTAATATTCTCAATCTTAATGAAAATAACCTCCAATAATAGGAGCTAATTTTAGGAATTTTATTAAAA